GTTCAGATAGGCCATTGGCTCTTCTCCATAAGAAGGGCTAAGAAGATCCCCTGTTAACTGAACAATTGGTTTTTGTACTCTTGGATTGGCACCTGAATCCCTCTCATTTGCTGCCACCAGTTTCATTCCTGTGATTCGTGCTTCATCGTTTAGTTACCAGGTCCTGCCATGGTCTCCAAATATCCATTAAAATGTGGACTCCAGCTCGCCTCTTATCGTTCTTCCTGTTGTCTTTGTTATGAAGCAACCGTGAAAGTATATCTTGCTAGTGAAAATCATTTCCCACCACCTCCTGCCAGCCACCCTAGTTCAGCTGTTTTCCATGAAAGCCTATTTGTTCAAAAATCATTGTGTCCTGCAAGTGTTTATTTTTCTTTAGGACCACAGTCATATCCTTCCAGCTCTGGGGACTGTCAGTTGCTGCACTTGCAGGGAATCCTTGCCATTGTGGCTGATGAGCTGGACAGACAAATTGCTTTATCCTCTTGTGAAGGCTTCAGCCTCTTTACTGCCTTGCACAATATCACTTTGCTGGAGCAGAAGGTGGTACAGAAGGTGAACTATGATCTCTTGTGTAGACAGGTTAACTGATGCTTTCCATGCCTTTTCTCTTCAGGGAACAGATTCTGTGCGAACTTATTGGCCAAGGCATCTCAGCATGTGACGGGGGATCATGCAGATTTGTGCAAACTTGTGAGGCCATGGCCTCATTCCAAGATAAGTTAAAATGTGCCATAGAAGCACATTCTTATTCAGAATCCCAGAATTCCCTGAAACATAGTTTAACTATTAATGAATTAAGCAAGGGACATTCTGCAAAGAAATCTTGTTTCGCTTGTGAAAATAATATTAGTATTTCATGTATGATATTCTAGTTATATCAAAATTCAAGTGATATGATCTACCTGCCTGCCTGTCCCCCTTTACCACCACCTTCATGCATCACGTTTCAACAGTGCTGTCACTGAAATCTCCTACTTCCTTCCATTGTTTGAAATTTGCTGTTGCTTTTCGTATATCTTAACCTAAAGTGAAGTGAACCAGCCTCTGTAACAAAGTTTGGATCATTTCTGAATGTTCCATCATGTTTTTGATATCACAGATTGTACTTTCAGGCCACTTCTCGGGGTGAGACAAAAAGAGATGCTCCCATGTTTTGAAATAGTTCTAATGTAACTCAGTTTGTCTCACTGCTGTTCTCTGTTGTGACATGTTTTTGTGTTTGCTCAAATGCTATTGGGAAAGTGTATGAGGTTTTGTGATTGCTTTGCATGTTTTTCAAAAGTGTGTACTCACCACCGAAGAAAGCATAAAGGTAAAGGTAAAGGTAAAGGTTTCCCCTTGACTTACGTCCAGTCATGCCGGACTCTAGGGGGCGGTGCTCATCTCCATTTCCTGCCGAGGGAGCCAGCGTTTGTCCACAGACAGTCTCCGTGGTCATGTGGCCGGCATGACTACACACCAAAGTGCACAGAACACTGTTACCTGCCCACCGAAGTGGTACCTTTTTATCTACTTGAATGTCATGCTTTCAAACTGCAAGGTTGGCAGAAGTTGGGACAGAGCAACGGGAACTCACCCCGTTGTGCAGATTCGAACTGGCGACATTTTGATCAACCAGCCCAGCAGCACAGCAGTTTAAACCACTGCATCACCTGCAGTCCCTGAAGAAAGCATAGACATGTGCATTTAAAAAATGCACATTTGAAAGTGCACCTTTTAAAAAAGGGTGCACTTCATTTTTCCAAATATCTATACAAGTTTTGGAATTTGCTATTTTTCACTTGAAAAATGCATTCCTATTTGTGTTCAGAATAGCCATTAGGAAAAAAATGACTAATTTCTAAACAGAAATGAAATTCTTGCAAATCACAAATTGCTTCAGATCAACTATAACAAGAGTTTTCTAGCAGAATTTGCTTACAACAGACTACTAAGTGTTGAGAAATCATAGAAATGTGAAACAAAATGTAAGTATAAAATTCTCCAGCTGAGAGCTAGTAAGTATCATGGGAACCAACTTGGTTAAATAAGTGATTTAATAAATCCAGTGGGTGTGGGCTTGGGTGGACTCTGAGGGGTGGTGGAGGACAGGAGAGCTTGGAGGGATGTTGTCTATGGGGTCGTGGTGGGTCAGGAATGACTGCGACTAAACAACAACAATTGAAAATAATGGAACACATGTTATGACTAGTTTAAGTCCCATTGCTTTCAGTTGGATCTACCTACATGAAACATGAAATAGTTTTGACCCAGGGGATATAACAAATAAAGAAGATGCCTGGGAACAATGGATAAACACTGGGTAGTATCCGATTGTGTCCATACACTTTGTGGGAATGACTGTTCATGCAAGACAGATTGCATGCTTCTAAAAGTAAGTCGGAATTACAGGAATCACTTACTTCCAGAATAGGACAGGTTAGCAAATCTCACAGATGGAAGCTCTCCTGACCCGTCTCTACTGCAAATAAGCATTTTGAAAAGTACAAAAGTCTTTTTGCACACATGGTTGTTCCCATGAGTGCAACAAAGCCTTTAGTGTGATCCGGTTGGATACTGCCAATAAGGGATAAATATTGCTTACAGCCCAATGATCCAAACATGTTTGCTTTGAAGAAAGTTCCATTTAGTCTAATGGGATATACTTCCTAGTAAGAAGGCTTAGGATCATAGCCTTAATCTTGCCAGAAAAACTTCCAAGCATTTGATTGCTAGATTAAATGATTCCCAAGACTAATGAGAAACACTTAATACCTGCTGATTTGATTTAATAAAGCTTAGGACATGACTTGCGTCTGGATTGTAATATTCTGTAAAGAAATTATGGAGTAAATAAGGAATGCACATGCCTTACTTTAATTCAATCAAATATATTGTCACTGAAGTTTCAATAGCATACTCATTCAATTTCAAAGTAGAAAGCATTTTTCACTCTGCAATGAACAATTTCATAATTGTACTCTTCATTTAAAATCACCTTCCTTGATGAAGCAAGGGCTGGCTGGTGGGAAGTGCCTCAATCTTATTTGTATGGGATAAGCTTCCTTCCATTATTTATTCTATTAATGCCTCCAACACCTGTGGGAAATGTGGATCTTCAAGTAGCTATTGTGTTAATCAAATGACTTTGTGCATTTTGGGACTGTCCAAGTTTGTGTCATTGCATTAAAGGGCATAGCCGATGAAATCACTGGCTTGTAATGTACTGGTGATTGGATTAACTTGTCTATTTTGTGCAGTCTGTTTGAAGACTTATTGGAGATAAAGTGGAAAAGATTAAATCCAAAGAGTTGACCTTTGACTACTATTTCTCTTGAAAAGAGCTCAAAGTCTTTAATGTAAGCTCGCTGCTCTTGAGATGTGTGTGCGCACTTTATTTGGAATTAAAATAGACCACAGATGGCGAGTGCCATTTGTTGAAATGTCCACTGAGCTTTTCAACTAGAGAGGCACTGTGGGTCATGTACAAAGACTCCCATGCACCCACATGCTGGTGAGCGCTCTGGATTTCTCAGTCAACCTCCATCTCCTTGTGCTGCACTACAGGCCACTTTGAAGATCCCCCAAGAATTCAGGAACAAGTTTCTAAGGAGCTGGGAGGGGTGGGAGTACAGCTCATGTGACCTGGATGATTATCTTGCAATTCCTGGACTACAGCAGGAAGAGATGGGCAAGAAAATGGCACGTGACCAGAGGGAGTAAATCTGTATTAAGAAGGATAGGGGATGGAAGGGATGTGAAGGACAGACAATGAGCAGGCTCCCAGCACTAGGCCAAAATCATGACACCATGAACTCTCCTGGGCCCATTTGCTCATGGGTCCTTTGCCTTGCTCTAGTCCTCACCGCTGTGCCTCTGCTTCCCCTCTACTTAAGTCATGTCCCTTTCTGTCATCAGACTTCAGCTCTGCAACAAAGTACGTCCAGCTCTGGTCCACAAATGCTGTCCCTTGTTCCTTCTCTACTTTCTTAACCTCATAAGGTTGCCTATTTTTCCTGGCCAGTCAGTCCCACTGGCAGCTGCTTTCCCCACGTTTGCTTCATCAGTCTTAGAGATTAGAGAATTAGCCTGGCTGTGTTTAACCAAGGTTTCTGCCCCACATTTTGTTCCTTGCCTCCATCTGATCTCGCATGGAATACAAAATGCTACCCTCCACCTTGCATGTGAAAACTAATCAGGGAAGATTTCCTTTCTCATCCCCTCACCACACACACAGCATTTTGACCATTTGGGAGGCCTCTGTCCTGCTATGCACAATGCGCTCTGAAATTCGTAATGCAGTGGTTTATTTATTTCTATATCATGTTTGTATCTCATCCTTTTCCCTCTTCTGAAGAATCCAAGCCAGGTCACATCTCCCTTTTATCTGGACAACAATTCTGCAAGGCAGGCTGGTCTGAGAGTCACTCACTGGTCCAGAGTTACTGGGTGAGCGTCATGGATGGACGGAGACTAGAAGCTGACTCTCCTGAGTCTCAGTCCAACACTCTAACCATATGAAAATGGATGCAAGAAGCAGCAGCTGAAGTTACAGAAGTCTACTCAGGCAATGAGACTTCTGCAGCTTCTCCCACCTACAGAGTCTTAACCCTAACACTGAGCCTGCCCCTTCTCAGAAACACTGAGCAGGGGGAAAGGGCAATCAGCCTGTCTCCATGTCACTGATGCAGAGGTGATGAACCTCCGGCATGGAGGCCACTCCATGCACCTTCAGTATTTTACCTGGAGTAATTTTTGATCTGCCCCTTTTACCTTTGGCCCGATGTAATGCTTGACTGTGGCCCCTGAGATTGTCTGCAAACTTCTTGTCAGCCCTTGAGTCGAAAGGAATCCAACGTTCCTATGCTGAGACAAATAGATCTGTCAATGGAAAAGCTTCACTGGGTTCCACTGAAAGGATGTCTGATTATAGGCATTTAAAAATACAGTCAAAAGCTTCCTTCTTCTTGGAAAATCCCATTTGTTAATTCAGTACTATTGTTATTGTTTCTTGTCAGAGATCTGATGCAGCTTCATGGAAAAGAAGATAGAGATGTTGCAAAGAAGCTTCTGGTTCAGTGGACATCCTATGGCCTTGAAGATGTCCAACTCGTTAATTACTCTGTCCTACTTGACCTGCCAAGCTCTTCTCCAAATACAGTGACTCTGAACAACACTGGGGAATGCTTTTATGCCAGTGGACAGCGATGTAACAAGGATACCGCAAACCTCCACAGTCAAGACCTTCTGTACTCCTATGCTGCTTACTCCGCCAAAGGAACTCTCACGGTAATGTGGACATTTGTCTCTGTCATTTTGGTGTAAAAATGAAAGAGAAAGCAATAGCTTCCATGGAGACTCAAGCCAGTGGAATGATGTATCATGTGTTGGTCTCAAAACAAGCTAAATAGGTATGGGGGAACATTTAAGATACAGCCTATTGTATTGCCACAATTCTTGGCACGATCCATCTCTATTATGTTGCATGCCTTCTCAAGCGGAGATTGAAATTCTGTACATTTTTCAGCAAGCCTGCTGCTTGTTCTAGAAAAAACAAATGCAGATAGGGTCAGTATACTTTTGGGTGTTATCGCTCTTAAAGACATCCTGATACATTCGAATTATTACATTGCATTTATCTCCCACATCTTTTCCTCTTGTAAGGAATCCAAGACAGCTTACATGGCTCCATTTTATCCTTGCAACAGCAGCCCTGTGAGGGGGGTTCGGCTGAGAGTGAGTGACCGACCTAAGCCCACCCAGTGCGCTTTATGGCTAAACAAGGACGTGAACCGGAAGCTCCTGGGTCCCCAGTCCAACACTGGCTCTTATACATACGACGATAACTTTTAAAAAATTATTACCTTTGTCTCCTGCCCAATAAGTAATGTTCACTGGGTGGATGACAAACAGTTGAAAAATTAAAGTAGATACAAATACGAAATAAACTAGATACATAGAATAGCTACAAATATGAAATAAACTACAGCTGTTTAACAAACAAAATGCAGTTTAATGCAAAACAATAAGCAGCAGAGAAATCAAAAGACAGCACCAGAATCAGATCTTTAAAAGATTCTTTTAAAAAATGCCTAGGGACTTTTAATTAATTGGCAGCATAGAAATGGACATATTAATTAATTAATTAATTAATTAATTAAATGGAAGCAATTAGTGTTCATAGGGGTAGGGACTATGCTTGCCAGTTTGCAGCATGAGTGTTTGGTCTTTACCTTTAAGGAGGAGAGATCATAGGTCAAGATAGAACATATGCAGGTAAATCCACAATTCAATCTTTATTATCTCCACTTAAGACAAGATTGAGAAAATTCTGGTTGTTTAGATACAGTAGATCATGCCATGAAAGATGTACAAGCAAAAAGTGTACACTTAAAAAATTCACAGATTCACACATGCATAAGAGACAATGTGCATATTTCAAAATGTGCACAATGATGCTTACATTTAGAAAATATGCACATTCTTTGTGCAGGGGAAAACCTTCCTCAAGGCTCACACTCTGATACAGAGAGAAGGTCTGATGAGCTTCAAGGAGGAAATCAGAGAATCCCAACAAGGTCAGATTTTGATGAATTGCACATCCCTGCAGCCACATTCATTCATGCATGTTTCCAAATGTTTAAGTGTGGCCTTGTCCCAAACACATGGAAAGAAGAGGTAAATATGATTTTCAAAGTAAAAGGAATTCATTAGTGAAGTCTGTGCAAGTCTTCCTGTACACATGGCTTGCCACCTTTCTGGAGCTTGGTTGGAAAAGAAGCACAGTATAGGGAGAAATTGTTTTCAGGATAAGAGTTGCGTGCATGGTAAGGGTTCTGCATTTAAGCATGAAACTAGCCTATGAGATTGGGCCAGTTTCATATTTAAACACATGGACATGCTACCTTCATGTCGAACACAATCCTCAGGAAGACAAAAGAACAACATGTTTGTTTGTTTGTTTGTTTAGCCCTGATAGAGTCTTGATAGAGCACAGCAGTGGTTGTGTTTGGTCACAGGCCTGGAATAGCCAGAAAGCAAAACTCAAAACCTCAGAAGCATCAGTTTATATGAGATTCATCCTTTGCTCTAATGGAGCAATTCTTTCATCCTGGCACATCTGTAATTACTGCATGGCTGCACACATATAATGTTCCCTGCTATTTAACATTTATTTAGTGCTAGGTGCACAGCCAAGCATAGAAATGAACAGCCCAAGCCCAGAGGGACTGTAATCTACATTTGGTACATGGAAGAGGAGCCTGGGGAGAGATAAATTTCTAAGCACCCACACCTGCTCTTGGGAAACGTGTGCTCCAAATATCTGTAGGCCTCCTGAACTGAAGATCCATCTGTTGTACACACTGTATAATTAAGCATAGCCACCTGCAAATGGATTTCAGTAGATACCAAGCCCCACCACTGTAAATTTACTCAATAATGCATTCTGCCCATCCAAAGCAATCCAGCTGATGTTGTGTTGGTGCAAAAGGCCCAACAAGAAGCCACAGCTTCTTAGGTCAAAGCAAGGTTTTATTTCATTTAAAATTATTTTGATGACACCTGTCATCTAAAACACATCCAAGCTGTGCACATGATCAAAACCAAAATATAAAACTAGAAATGAGCATTATAATGAACACAGATCAGTGACCCTCTGAAAACAAACAAGCGAACAGGACATCAAGGTGACAAACACTGCATATCATCAAAAGATGAAGTGAATAATAAAAAAACCCTCTGGGCTGAATCAGAGGAGGTACATATTCTGTTTCTGGGAGCAGGGTATTCTAGAGGGCAGGTCCCACCACGAAAAAGGCCCTTTTTTTGGTTGCTGCCAGACAGTTCTCTGCAGCCTGTGCCATACGTAGAAATGAATCAGATGACGATTGCTGTGGCCAAGCCGGTCAATACAGGAATAGGCACCGATCAGGCTGGCAAGCGAGACGGTAGAGATTTTTGAGCATAGATCGCATTCCTTGTACCACAAGGGTTGCGTTGTGGCAGGAGCTGCTGAAATCCAGCTGCCCCTAGTTCCACATCCGTCTGCATGTTCTCTGTACAAAGACAGTGATTAACATGCTTGGGAGAATTAAGTTTTCTCTCATTTTCAAGAATGATCTATCCAGGTGAGCTTCTCTGGACATTCTGCAGGCAAGGTGCTGACTGTCGTGCAGGTGAGCAGCTGGAGGAGGGCACCCAATGATGTCCTAACAATCCAAGTAGCAACCATGGGAGGAGATTCTTTTTCAGGTAACCTGGCCCCATGCCGTCAAATTGAAAACTAGCACTTTAATAGTTCGCTGGCTACTAGTCCATTTCCAGGTCAGAGTACTGGCATAAAATAATCCCATCAGCCAGTCCCATCCATCACCTATCTTGGAGTAGGTGAAGTTCTCAGACCATTTTCAAGGGCAGCCTCATTGCAGAATCCCAAATGAGAGATCCCAGAGTGTAAAGCCTACCTTAAGTAGTACAAAAAGTCTGCCATCACAGATATAACCACCATTCCTTTATCTTGAATATTTGCAAACAACCACCATAGTTGAACGCTATTTTATGTTGCATATGGTTTTTAGGCAAAAGAAAGCTTAGAAAGTGCGTGTCAAAATCCATCTAATTAAAAAGAACAACAAGAGACAGCCAAGCAAAAAAAATCTCACAAGGATCTTTCTGTTCAAGGAGAGTCATGGTTGGTTTATATCTCTAAGTTTGGTTTAAAAAAAGAAATCCATCTGAGCTATTAAGGACACCTATAACTCCAGTGATAATTTGGTGCACCACTACAAAGTACAGATGGATCCATCCAGTTCTGAAGAAGAGGCAGAGGAGCAGGGGGGAGGGCATGGAGCTGTGGACATGGCAGTTTCAGGGTTCCCTAGTGAAGTTTCTCAGGCAGAGGGTGCAAGGCAGAGGGTCCTTGGGAAGGGACCTGCAGTGGGAAGGCATGCAGGGGGAGCTCCTTCTCCCGGTCAGGAGGAGACAGGTGAAGTGAGCAGTCCAGCATTCTTGAAGTCTAGCTTAGAAGTGGCAGGAGTCACCTGGAGGAAAGGGGAAGGAGAGGGAGAGAGGGAAGTGACTTGTTCACGACAATAGCAGCCCATCTTGTCAGGACTGAACTTTGGTTTATTGGCTTTCATCCAGTCTGTTCCAGTGCTGATCCAGAAATCGAGTGCCTCACTTGCATTAGATTAAACGACATACACTACAGCATTATCTGCATATTGGTTATTGTTGTTGTTGCTACATGCTATCAAGTTGTCTCCAATTTATGGCATCCCTATGAATGTCCTTGACAACCTTGCTCAGCATTTATAGGCAACAAATTTGCTTTTACATTTCATCCAAATGATAAGCTCTGATTTAGCCCGAAACCTCCATTCAGCTGAAATGTGATGGCTACCCTTCCAAAGACAGGCTCACACTGTCTCTTTGATGTGCCTTACATCTTATTAAATAGATCCAATCGTGTGCCACTGATGCATTTCTGTTGCCCCTGCCTTTCTTTCTTCCCACTTGAACTCCCAGCAAAAGGCACTATTAATGACTTTCCAAAGTCTGGCTGCCAGACAAACTAGAGGATTCAGTGGCTTCTGACAATGTTATTTGTAGAACTGCAGCATGCTGCTTCTTTGAAAACCTGTCATGTCCATTCATCTTGTGGCCGCTTCTGCACTTGGGTCTCCAATTTGCGCTTTCTAGTAACAGTTTGAGCGGCAATTGCTGGTATGTAGAATCTTCTTTTTTTTTCTCCCAATGCGCAGAGTACAAGTGATGGATGGGCCTCTTTGGCTACCTTTCTGTAATTCATTCTGTACTGGAAAAGTGGCACAGTTTACCCTATTATAATGACAGGTGGGCTCAGTGTATGATTTTGCAGCAGGTGGTCCTGTTGGTGGGAAAATTCGCATTGCAATGTTTACATGAATGATGTATTGTAGTTCAGATCTGTAGGAGGAAGAAATAGCTAGTTGCTGCATTGTGTCTGTGACAAGAAAGTCATGTACAGACTGCAATTTAATAGCATTCCTAAGCATGCAGAGTGTTTCGCCTTCAGTGCTGGGGAAAGCATTGTTCCTGGACAATAATCAGCATCTTGCTGAATTTTCTGCGGCACACCTTTCAATGTTACCTCCCAGCACTTAGCTGAGTGCACATTTTGGGCAAGAGTTCGTATGTGCGGTGCTTAGCATCCTATGTAGCACCAATTGCTCCCAAAAGTCCTAAAAACATCTGAGAACTTGGAAAATTAGCATACAGTTGAAGGCTTTCAGCTGGTATTCAACTGA